TTTTCGGTGTGCTTAAAGACTAGCCCTGTGTATGCATTCGAAGCATTTTGTCAATGCTTTCACAAGGATGCGGGTGCTGAAGAAGGCATGTCACTAAGTGCCTCAAAGCCTGAGATAGGAGAGCTTAGATTGACCCGGCCTTGCCATACGCCCGAGTGGGGAATGGGGGGGGACATTAGGTTTAGATTGAATGTGACGATAACATATGCCATGTGAGCCAGAATCCCCACCACCACCCCAGCCGAGTAATCAAAGATTGTGAACCATTAGTTAAAATGAGGTCAGGCAGAAGGGCAAGTTCTTCTCCCCCCTTTTCTCACTTATTGCTTCTTGGCCTTTCGGCTAAGATCAAGCCGTGAACCCTTTAGGGGCCCCCGCCTGGAGGAGAACTTCATGCAGTTTAAACTCTTCCTCTATTGTCTTTATACAGATGTTTTAATAAGCGTGCAGCATAATTAGAAATCACTGGTAATAAACAGATCCAGACTGCTGCAGGTAATAGATGGTGACCTCAGGGTGAAGGGACGGCTTTATCAGCACTACTTAGTGGGAACCATCAACCATTCAGACACTTGGAGGGAAAGTTAGAACCCATGAAGCTCAGAGCAGCTGAGTCTACCTCAGGTGTGACTCACCTGTCACTATGAAGCACCTCTGAGGAACCCGGGTGGATGACATGGAGAATGATGCCTCGGCTCCCCCAGCTTCTTTGGAACAGGACGGTTCTCCTGCTGCTCTGATTAGGATGGAGGGTCTGGTTGAGGAAAGTCCAGGCCAGCTTGTTTCTACCAAACATCTCCAGGGTTCCTCCTGCTCCAACTCCAATGTATTTCCTCCCAAAGTAGCTGTGTTCTTCATCACCGTCATCCAACCTAATCAGAACAGGAAGCATTTTCCATTCATATAAAAATAAAACGGTTTCATCTGTTAATAATCTGACTCCTCAGATTATGCTGGAGGAAAGAGGATCTGTGTGGATTAGATCTGTGCTTTACTTGTCTGGGATTTCTATTAATTCATTCTACCTATAAAGAGATAACTTAAAAAACACACTGGCATCATCCCAGTAAATCTAGCATCTGTAACGTTATTTTCTACTCAGAAACTTTAAATCTACAAAATCAAATCTACTTAATGCAAATCTAGTTAATGCAAATCTAGTTAATGAAATTGAGATAATGCAAATCTAGTTAATGCCAATCTAGTTAATCCAAATCTAGTTAATGCAAATCTAGTTAGTTAAAATCTAGTTAATGCAAATCTAGTTAATGCAAATCTACTTAATGCAAATCTAGTTAATGCAAATTTACTTAATGCAAATCTAGTTAATGCAAATCTAGTTAGTTAAAATCTAGTTAATGCAAATTTGTTAGTCAAAATCTATTTAATGCAAATCTAGTTAATGCTAATCTAGTTAGTGCAAATCTAGTTAATGCAAATCTAGTTAGTGCAAATCTAGTTATTGCAAATCTATTTAATGCAAATCTAGTTAATGCTAATCTAGTTAATGCTAATCTAGTTAGTGCAAATCTAGTTAATGCAAATCTAGTTAGTTCAAATCTAGTAAATTACGGTTGTGTTTAATGTTCTTATACAGAATGTAAGAGAAGTGGGTAGTTAGTACCTGACCTTATTAGTTTCCTACCGACAGCGATAATGAGGCATGAGGTCAAAGCTGAAAACCTCAACCCTGCTTCCACTCATTGGTTCATGGTTAGCAGCCAATCATGAGCGTAGGAGGGAGAGTGCCTTCCACGCATGCTGATGGTTCTCTAGGTGTGGGGTTAGGTACTACAGCACTGTCTCGTTCCCGGTGGCCGCTGGCCAGGGCCTGGGGATCCTGGGCCCCCCACTAGGAGGTGGTGCATCCTGGTCCACCTTGGGCGTGACCAGCCGCCAGCAGAGCCCTAGGGCCGTGGCCCTGTGAAACCTCACCATTATGGCTGGGCCCCTTTTAGGTTTGGCCCCTGTGGCGTTGGGCCCCGGGGTGCTCTCATCTAACCTTCTCTGGTGGGTGTGTCCATCTGTATGTCAGCCCTCCTGCTGGTGCCTCTGAATATCTAAGGCAAGGCTGGCCTCTTTATCTGGCCCCTGTAGAGTGAGTTTGGAGCTGCTGACTATTAAGCAATTAAGCATATTTTCCTCCAGAATAATCTTTGTAAATCCTTTATACCCAGCCATGCTCATACATACTAACCACAGGAGTAAATACAGAGCTGCAGCTACAGATATATCCCATCCTGAATAATATTGTGGAATCTGTAGCTTTTTCCTTCTAAACACACGGAAGTCTAAAAGATACCTGCTGCTCTAAAAGCTTTTTCTTGATGTTTAGTTGACAGTAGTCTCCTTTTTACTGTTATGTTCCCTGTTTTCTCAGCTGTCTACATATGTATATAGCTATATATAGAGAGAGATATAGATATATACAGCACTTTGATTTATGTTCCTCTGTGAACATGGTAGGAATGTTGGGTGGAATCTGTCAGGAATAAAACTGATGTAACTGAAACGCATCCTCCCCCTGAAGTCAAAGTGAAGTCAGCCAAGGTAGCAACCAGCAGCCAACTCACGCTGGACTGGAGACTGTTACTGGGCCAAAGTTCCACAGGAACTTCATCTAAACCTTTCAAATTAAGATGTTTCCCAGAGACTGTGGAGAAATTAAGTGGATTATTTTCTAAAACACCACTTCCTGTCTCTTCCACTGTTTAGGAGCCTTTCCCTCTAGTTCTAACTAGGAGTCAGAACATGTTCCATGTTAGAGACTGTTTATAGATGACAGACCTCCTCCCTGCCATCTAAACAAACATCCCCAAA